TAAATGCATAAACCATAACTCGATCGAAGCATAAGGCCGATGTCAGACTTTGCGAATCGCGCGATTCGCTAGCGTCTGCGGTCGCGTCGCGGCCAGTGAATCACTCAATTGGCTGGTACCGCAACGCGACCGCGCGAATCGCGCGATTCGCAAAGTCTGACATCGGCCTAAGGCGGATTTCACGATGAAAAGGCAGCCTATTGGAAATTGGGTTAGAGATGGTCAGTGATGCACGAAAAAAGAAAAACCGGAAAATGGTCTGGTACCCGAGAAATGACTTGCTCGTGATTAATATTGATGCGACTCTCATCGGTGCTGCCCTCTTCAACGCTAACGCTCTCTCTCTGCTGAACGGCTAGAGACTCAGACACGAGAAGACGCGATAAGGAGCTAATGGCGCGCCTTTTGGCCATAAGGGAAGGCCACGCTGGATCGCTGCGACACATCCTTTGATGCGAAGTGCGTGTCGGTCCACACCCTTGGGGGGAGGGACAGGGAGGTCCGCCTGTCCCTTTACCAGGTAGGTTTCCCCATTCGACCTTCGTCTTTCTCGTGAAATCCTCCTTTGAATCCAGCGAGAGATCGGGGGTCACACAGTCTTCGAAACTCGGAATGGATGACGTACCTCATTAGTATTTCAATTTTTACCGTAATTCCTTCTGTTGCAATGCGGTACTTGTACAATTTCAGCTTAAACACGCACTCGAGGCGATTTTCGTTTCGTATTTGATAGCGTTCTTCTTTGCGTTAGCGTTCGAAAAGCCGTTCAACGCTTTCGACGAGATGCTGATTCCAGTCAAGACAAGAACGTCGACGAGGCGGAAATCTATTGAACTGGATGTTCCCAATGGTGAAGCACAGCCCCTCAAAAGTTGAAATGTACACATTGAAACACCACGTATAAAATTATATTGACTTCTTTCATGTTCTCTGTAATTACGTCACCTATTCATTCAGTAAATTTGTTTTAATTTTGTTATAATCAGCTTATTCGAAAGTAGTGCCATTTTTGTCATTACAATCAAAGGAGCGACGCTCAAAATCGCACCGAAGAAGTCAAGGTAAATTTATTCTATTTAGTTGAGACTTAGTTAAGCTGTCACATGTAATTAAAATGGGAAGCAACAATCCAGGAACGAATTCGCGGGTAAGGACCACCTATAATGACGTTGCAGGTGAGAAGTTGGTCAATGGAGATAGAAAAAGTAGAAAAAAACGTCGGGCAGGGGCTTAGACAGGGACTCCCCCGGCCGTTTAGGGAGATGTGTGTTGGACGAGTTGTCCGAACCTGCCCGTAGTACATGCGCTCCAGTTGACTGCTGGCAAATAGCCATGCATGCTTGCAAATACATAACTATTTGCCAGCAATCGAAATTGAAGCGCTTCAATTGGGTTCTTATGGAATCGACCTCATACAGCGCGGCGGTCCCGCAACGACCGCTAGTCGAGCAAGCGCTCTGCACAGCGTATGTTGGGCGATCCGCCTCTTTATGGGTGATCCGCCCCCTCCAAGAGGACTTCGACCCCTTTCCAGCGCATTTTAGAGGTAGGTTTTGAAATTAAAGACATTTCCTATAAACTTTAGTTGGGCTGGGGCATGTTTTGACCGCCTAATGACCAAGTAGTTGAAACCCTGCCTGGACTGTTGCTTTAAGCTGCTCATTGTAATTAAAATTGGGTGGCCAACTTCGTTGTGGGGGGGGGGGACCACGAGCGGTCGCGGCGCGGCGCTCTGTTCGTCTTTCGCTCGCAAGGTTTATCGTTGCGGTCCCCAGGAGCCGAGTTATATATTTCGGTTCGGCATCAGTCACGCGAGAGTTCTCACCATAGCCTCCATCGGGGGACGAAGCCTTTGGCGGAACAGCCCAGGACAAATACCGCCCCCCCCGCCTCAGCGTGGTCCCCCAACCATGTTAGGCATCCGTGTTAAAATGGTTTAGTCGTATTAGCGTTCTGTGCTGTGTCTGGCGCAACAGTATCTCACAGCATAAATGAACCATAAGTAAATATATTTCCATCGTTCCCTATAAATGCGCCGGGTCTGTCTGGTTGATCGGTTCCACATCCGAAGTTTAGCGTTAGTGAACGAAGACAAGTGGGAAGTATGCTGCCCAAAGAAGTAACAGATTAATTCGCAATGTGATCTTATACTCATATCTCGTCCCACGGCTCTTAAAACCCCAGAATACTTGGGATGGTAAGAAAGTCCTGAGCCGATTTTTCGAAAGCTCCAGAACTTTCGCTTATTGATCGATACCTAGAATCTGCTACGTGATAGACTATCGCTGTCGATCATACTTCTCCGCAGTAGGTATATATTGCCGGGTTGCCTTCTTTAACTTTAATAATGATGTCGATTCCACAAGAACACTTTCGAGCGATCATCTTCAATGAATGGCGCTGCGGCACAGGAGCAGTGGGAACCGTCAACATTATCAGCATCGCATTGGGAAGGGACACCACTTCCATCATCAGTGCCAAGCTCTGGTTCGCAGGCTTCGAGGAGGAGACACGGCTTTCGAAGACAAGACAAGGTTGGGAGCCCTCCCAAACAGTGGAAAGACTCCACCGTTCTCGGCGCTGTCGAAGAGGATCCGGAGGTTAGCACCCGCAGCCTTGTGATAAGACTCGGGTGCACCCATCCCACAGTCCTCGGTCCCCTCCACGCCCTCGCCACAGGAAAGTGCCGACTCGATGGATCCCTCATGTCTTGACCGATAGCACGCGGTTTCGGCGGTACCCATTTGTCAGTTTCTCCTTCTTTGTCCGCACCGAAAGGAGTTTTTGGAAGGCATGATTACGGCAAGATGAGAGTTGGTTCTCGGAGAAGACCCGCCGACACAAGCAAAATCGGACCTTCACCCCAAAAACTGTCTTCTTTGCTACCTCTGGGATTCGTGAGGAATGCTGTATTATGAGATGCTCCCGCAAAGACATACCGCTACCGGCAGCATTTACGCTCCAGAAACTAGCGGACGCTGTTCAAGAAAAACGACCGAGACGAACTTCTGTCCACCTACTCCACGATGACGCCAGGCCCCACATAGCTAAAGAGACCCGTGCAAAATTGGAAGAGCTGATCTGGGACGCGGTTCCCCACCCACCCTATTCCCCTGACATTGCCCTCTCTGATTATCACTTATTTCATCCCTTAAGGCATTCCTAGCGAAGAAAAAATTCACCAAAGTTGAAGACGTTGAAAGAGCGGTCAGCGATTTCTTTGACTCTCAGTCTGCTCAGTTCTGGGAGAAGGGGGTCGCTGACCTGCCCATTAGGTGGGACTCTGTAGTGAGTAACAATGGTGATTATATTGTTGAGTAGATTCCATTGTACGCGGAATAAAAAAGTAAAGCAACAAAAAAGTGTCAAACGGCTCAGGACTTTCTTACCATCCTAATAGTTCAAGCTCCTCCTTGTGTCTTAAGACTCTGAAAAGACGTAGAGGTCCTGATCAGTAATTCACCTTAAGCTTAATAATGTAAAACACTAGTTAATACATCGCCGAGCGAAGTGCCATATCCTAAAATTTCATATAAATTAGCTAGTAACAAACATTTCTGCAAAATATGCTAAACATAGGCATAACGGAGCTTGCTTATAATTACTGATATGTTGAAAATGTTTAAATGGGTAAAGAAGAAAATTTTAGGGTGGCACCCACCATTGGGTGCCATTGTCCCACGCGACGGTCATAGTGGCACCCACCGGTGGGTGCCATTGTCGCCAAAGGGTTGAAGGATTTTTGGCAACGCCGGCTCTTGCTCGTTTCCTCGCCGCCGCTCTGACGTCAAAATGACGTCGCCAACACGTGAATGCGTCCGGGCCGACGGTGAGCTTTTCCGTGGAGTCCCCTCGTGGCTCTAGCTCGGGAACAGGGTCGGTCCTATCGTTGGTATTTTTGCAAAATTTTGACGACCCCCTCTTCACGACAGATTTCATACGACCCCGAAAAAGACCGTTCAGAAGGGGGGGAGGGGAAAAACTACCCAATCAAAAATCCTGCTAATTCCTTCACTTTCCCTACATATTTCGCCCTATTTCACCTTTTCACACACTTTACTAGGGTAATAAGGCCAAGCGAGACGGCGCGCAATTTCACCTCGCGCTCTCACCTCCACATGCAATTCCGCGCTCTCGAAACAATACGACAGCCCCCCCACCACTACATGCTTTAACTTCAACAAACTACGACCCCCCTCGCCGTTATACTGTAGTCAAAGTAGGTGAACCTGCTCTGGAACCGGGGCGAGTCAAAGTGCAAACGTGAAGACCAGGCCATTCCCAAACACTTCGAGGGTCTGGAATTCGTCGTATTGACTTCAGTATCATCCTGCGACCCGCCATAGAGCGCTGAATTCCTGAATCTGAACGCGCCTTATAAAAAGCACTAACAATAATAAACACGTTTTATGATCATTATATGGATCCACATTATACGAAGTTATACGATACGTTTTGATTTAAATTGGTACAGCTTAGTACAGATCTGCCAAAGGATCTTCACCGTCCTCCTGGTCGTCTAGCGTCGCCGCATCGTTCGTCTCATATAGCACGCAGTTTTTCTCATTTATGCGAACTAAACGAACAATTCTAGGTAAACTCAGCTCAGCGATTTTAACGTCGTCATTAGCCAGTGAGTCATGTGTTCAGTGTTGTACTTTAGGCCGTTGCAGACTTCGCGATTCGCTACTGCGTCGCTGCGATCGCTAGCGTTCGCGGTCGCGTTGTGGATCCACTCAATGAATGTGCTCCCTGCTCGAACGCGACCGCACGCTACGATTGGCACATCGCAAGTCTGACATCGGCCTTACACAGACCAGGCCAAACAGACCCCCCTTCTCCAAAATCCCACCTCGTTTAACGGCCGGTGAACCCGAACTGCAGTCAATGATTGAGCTCTCCTAATGGCCAATTGATACAGACTTCTGCTTGTGTGCCTTTTATTGATAGTAGACTTATCCTTATCGATTTCTCAACCCTCCACTTCTTTTTCTATTTGCCCCTTCCGTTCCTGGAAACATTTGCTATAGCTGAACCCATAATTGGAAAAGCTGGCCTATTACCTGAGCGATTTCGTCGATATTCCCCATGTGTTTCACGTTCTGAGGCGGAAGCACAATGCTTTCTTCTGCTGCCTTCTTCTCAAACTCACAAATTTCCCTCTGTGGAGCGTCTGCTTGAGGCTTCTTCCCTTAAGTTTTGTATCTCCGGTGTGATCTGGGCCTTTCACGTTTGCGCTATGTTGACTAAAAGAAATCAACATCATTCTAAATATTGAGCCTATCCTAAAAATAACAAAACAAAAATTAATAATGTGAGATATAAAATTTCTCGAGTGCAATTAAATTAACTCCCACATGCTGTTAAGAGGAATGCTCGCCTCCCGACTCTTGGAAATACGAGGATTATAGGAAATTGCCGGAGATAAGAGGGGTGCCATCCCCCACCCTACGCAATTTTCGGGCAGAATACCAATACCCCAGCTGAAGGAGCAGAGATTTGGAGAAATAACCTCACTGCGTCAACAATTTTTCCCGGGCAAAAAATGCAGGCGGTGAATTAACAGGCGTAAACGGGTACGAGTCAGGCGCTAGAGGAGGATCTGCTCGTAGAATCAATGGTACCTGACAGGGGGTGCGTAGCGTTAGTCCTCCTGGGGTCAGGCTGCCGCCGCACGCGGCGATCGGGCTCGTCGCGTGTGCGGCGATTCTGCGATGTGGAGGTTTTTACTAGTCCATGCTGTTGTCCACCGTTGCAGCCTTCACATTTGATTGTCAAGTGACGAGGTGGCTTGTCCCAAGCACAGTAAGGCTCTTCCACTTTGATGTCTCCCATGGACATGAGCGCCAGAAATTAAGTTTGGAAATTAAGAA